AAAAATCCACAGCAAGTTTTATACAGCACTAATGCTACTTCATTAAGTTAATTTCTTTTTATGGTTTTATTTTTGTCATCCTGACTGTGATGATTGGTCACTATTCTTTGTAGACTTTTAAACGTGCTCTCTTGCCCCAGAAATAAACACAATTTGTTGGAAAGCTGGCCTATCTTCTCTAGCATGATTTTTTTTTTCCCTTCTCTCTGTAGATGAAAACATTACGTCTCTTTGTACTGTAGCTTGTGTTATGTTTGCTGCTGTCTGCTGTATGCAGGTTAAAGAACACTTCTCTGCTGGCTGCAATGTTTTATCGTAAGCCTTTTGGTTTAAGCTCTAAAAGTCAAACCCTTCCTACCCAAACTGACTTAGGAACAATGGAATGATAATTAATTCTGCAGACAAAATAAAATGAAGTTTTGTCATATGTTATTGCACTCTGGCATTTTAAAAAAATATCACAAAAAACTACTTTTAAATGCTTTTAGTGATCTATTGGATTCCTCACTTAGAGACCAGCAAAATGGTTAGCTTCTGTCAGCACCTGTTTCACACCAAATTCTGGATTTTCATAAACATTTTTGGCACTCTCTTAATTGTTTTAGTGCCTGGCATTTTGTTTAAATCTTGTTATCTTCTTTCTAGTTATGTCACAACTTTTTCTGATCTGTCTTTCCATTTTGAAGTTTTTCTTAAGCCAAAAGCCGTTATTTTTACTGTACAGTCAAAACTGATCTGGTGTGCATGAGCAGCTGTAATCTAACACCATTTTGTCAAGACAGAAAATTGCTCCATAAAATATAAACTGTGGGTTTGCGTCTAGAGTGGAAGAATATAAAAGAAAAGATACAGGATTAGGTTTTCCAATATATACAGAAATGTATTATGGAGAAGATCAGCTATACTTTCTTGAAATCAATGCATATGTTTCCAAATATGAATCTAGTCCACAGCAAAGTGTAACTTCTTTAGCTATTCAGAATTTCTCAAAAGAATTCTAGATAATTGGATCTAGATAAAAGGGTCCTCACATTATCTTAAAAATAAAAATCTTTCATACTGGATAAACAAAAATGAAGGTGAAAATAGCTTTTGTGGCTATAGTCATTTATTGCAAGTTATTCGTCACTTCACCCTAAATCCTTTCCATTATTAGGAAAGTGAAGCAAAGCCACTGTTTTCTGTCTTAATCCTCCTTCTCAGATGCTCTGCACAGTATTTTTTTTTTTAAATCAAACTGTTAGGTAAACCATTTTCTGAGCATCAGAAGTTGGAGCTCGCTTCGTAAACCAGGCACTCTTCAAAGTTGTCATAAGCATATTACAGAAATACACACTACTAGACTGGGGTAGTGTACCTTATTAATATTTCATTTTGGTACAATATACTTGCATTAACTCTCTTAACACAGGTATCATATTGTTTCAAGTCAGAGAACCTAAAACATCGTAACAAAGATTAGACTAAGAGCAAAGCCTTGAAAACTACAGACATTAGTCCTGTCATCCCCTATAAAGTTAATGGGTTGGAAAAATGGTCAATCTTTGGACTAAAAGTTGATATTTAATTGAAAGAAAATGTTTTTTAATTGTAATGGGGATTTTGCATTAGTGTGAACATGAAAAGGTACTAAAGAATCTAATGCAAGGTTATGTATTGATTTCCATCTTTATGCTAGTGTAAAATGAAGGAATATTTCTATTTCATAAACAACCTCACCTATTCAGCACCATTTGTTTTAAGGGCATAGAAGACAGAATTGAATGAAAAGAAGAAATAATAAAATATTCTCAAACATTTTTTGCTGGTGCATAGGACAAAAGCCATGACACTGCCATAAACCTTGACTGACTCTGCACCAGAATTATCAAGATGTTATATGTCGCTTTTACATTTTGCAGGGTTATTTGGTTCAGAAAAGCAAAAGCATCTGTAAACTTAGCACTACACTGCCTTAATCAAAATGGTTTTAGTGATCATGGATTATAACGAGAGACCTGACATAATGGATGTGCAAAGTCTGCCCACAGAATTAGCATCACTATAGCCTAGAAGGATGGATGTATTTAGAAAATGGAGTTTTTCTTGAAAAGGACAATGCTTGAGTTCAATGAAATTAAATTCTTAGTATTAATAATACTTAGAACACTACGTTGTGTTTGGGGGATTTCATTTTCCTTTTAATACAAACTTATGTAAATAAGGTTCTTTTAAGTCCTATACAGTTTTCTCCAATACTAAGCTATGATTTTGACATTCCACTTAATGCACTTGTAAACAAAAATTTATCACAAGTGATACTTATCTAAGATTTGCGAGTTAGTATAAGTTACTTCATTTAAAACTGAAAGACAGCATGAAAGATGGAAAAAGCATTGCAAATACTTTATGGAAAGTACTGCCATAATTCTATTATAAAAGTTACTGCAATACTGAGTACTTATGGTCTGTTGTTAAGGTGCTTCTGTTATATACCCTGTAGTCTACCATTTGTAAACACATCTTTTTGATGTTTCTGCCAACATCCTGGCAACAAAGCAGTGCAATTTCAAATGAGCTAATTAACTTAATTGTTGATGAAGCATGAAACAGTTCATTCACCCTGTTAGCTGCACCATGACAACATAAGAGTCTCAGCCCCTGAAGTTACTCATCTATATAAGCCTATCTGTAGCTTTCCATTAAGATCTATTGCATGCCAAAATGAGTACGGCTCTTCTGACAAAGACCAGTCCATAATGTACATAGGTAGAAAATCAGTGCTGTTGTTGAAATTTCAAATGAACACGGAACATTAGTAACTACTTTCAAAAAAAACAACATGCAGAAACCAATTGTAGTTTGAAGCTGCAGATGAAAAGCAAAAGCTGTGTCACCTATTTTCTAAATGTCCTCTTTTCAACAATAGCTGGCAAAACCAAATACTAGAATTGAAAACTTTTGACATCACTGTTCAGTTCTGAAAGGTGCAAACCCACCTGTTTGCAGTGCTTTTTTTTTTTCTGTGTATCCTCTGCACATGCAAGAGTAAAAGCTAAAATAAATTAGCAAGTGAAATTTAAATGGTCACACTTAGTCCTTTGTGCTTTTTAATTTATACTATACACATTAATTCCCACTACACACAAACTGTCAGAATTTAAAACGTGCTTTTTCATACTCCTACTATCCAATATACAATCTAAAGCATCTCTTCAAATTTTCTGAGGCTCCATTTCAGTAAAGGATAATAAGAGGATTAAACACTGTGCTATTGAAAGGCCTGCAAAAGTGTTCGACATGAAAGAAAGGATAACAGTTTGACCCTCTGCAGATAGCCTCGATTATCCAGTTTCTTGGAATACACAAAAAAAAAAATCTCTGACATGATGTACAGTAAAACTTTGTTTGTCATCTTTCTCTTTCTCTCACCTTAAACAGCCCTGCACCAACAAATAAAAATCCACCTACTTTAAAAATTGTCCAAAATCTTCACAAACGCTTTCACAGCCAGGCCATTTGCAAACTCCATGACCATAGAGAGTATGGGAGGCCCCAGTCTCCTCATGTGACGAGCTGCAGCAAAAGAATAAGGCATCAGATTCATCTCAAAAGCCATAATCGTTGGAGGCTGCTAGTGCCTGTCAGGTTACGATCAGTGACAAACAGGTCAAAACAGGTCAATTTAGCTCAGAGCAGTCAGAAAAATTTAATCGTTCTATTGAATAGTTCAACTGCCAAGGCTAGATGATGTTCCAATTAGAGAAGAAATAGAGCCAAAGATGACTGTTAATAAAGGATGAAAAAATAAGATGACTGTATAATACCATATGCTAATTCTGCCATATGACCTTGGTGTAACATTTACCTATAAATAAAAAATATACCCAGAAGTGATCAATTCTGAGAAGAAATATTGAAGACGGGCAGTCAGATTTTATTAATATTGTGAATGTTACTACAAAATATTTGGATTTTCTGCTTAAATGTGTATAAAAATAAAGTTGCTTCCATTAATAAATATTTTTTTGTTCACAAGTGTTGCTTCCATTAGCTACTTGGCTTCATAAAAAAACCCAGCTCTATTCTGGTGGTTTTGTGGGGTTTTTTTGGAACCTCCGCAATGGTTACAGTTATCAAAGAAATGGACAGTTATCCTAGAAAATCCTAGAAATCCAGGGGACTGTCCCATGGAGGTAGGTGTCAGCTATACGTCCTGAAGCAAAGAACCATTCTCTGAGACAGAAACACAAAAGTAATAATAACTAGAAGTACCGCTATATTCAGAGAAGTTCATTTTTTGAATAGTACAAAATAAAGATAGAAAAATGTTCTCACAGTCACATGAGGACCAGAGACACTTAAATTATAGTCTTCTATTATAAATATTAAAATAATTACATGGAATATTTATTTGAAGATACAGTTATTTAAAATTTAGGTTATGTACATACAAACTAAATTTCATCTTATATTGAGATCATCTACATCTGACTATACTAAAATATTTACTAATAAGTGCTACAGATGCTATGTGCTCTTGCATGCATTTAATTCATTACTTGAAAATAAGAAACAGTGAAGAATATCCATCAATGTGTCCGAAAAATGATTTTAACTTCATCCTTATGGTTGAATTCCACTGCATTACACCAACGCCACTGAAAATTTGTATGAAAGGTGCCAACGGTTTTACTGTGATGCATGTAAGAAGGAAAATTCAGTGGTTTTCTTCATAAGAGATACACAATATGAGAACTGCTTTAATGTACTAATTTTTAAAGCACTTTTTACATGAGATCTTTGCACTGAATTACAGCTTTGACAACTAGGATATATGTACAAATGTATGTAAGGGCATGACTGCCAGATGTGTTAATTCAAATATGAATGAAACTACACACCCACAAAAGTGCCCACAATTCTGCATTTACACCTCTAAACCAGCGCACAAACATCTCTATTCAGATATTTCCATGTTTTACCAAAACTAACATAAAATCATGTGTTGTAAAACCGCAGGCAGGTAATTGTCATCACATCTGCAAAATTAGACATCATTATTGAAAATGATGCCCCACTGATAAACAATTCTGAAAAATCAGCTCTCCACAATCTCTTAAGTAACCAGTATTAAGTCTTATTTTGTGATTGGAAATATGTGACATATGATGTTAAACAACAACTTTACGTCAAAAGATAAGCACAGTGGAAATCTTGTGAGAATTACCTGTCTCGCCTTGCATTTAGAACTGAAGACTGTCCATTCACTATGGAATGATGAGTTATTGGTGGTGATGCTTTGGAAGTGGTGGAGGAGGTAGTAGAGGAGGAATTGTTAGTAGTGAGGTCTAGCCCTCCATGTTTAATGCCATTGTCTTCCATACTGTGAACTCCAGTCACTTCTTTCCATAACTGCTGAATCTCAGCAGGACTTAAGCCAGCTATAAAATGAAAAAGAGCCCCACTAATATAACAAAATAAAGAGTTTCATATAATGAGCTCAGCGTTATTAATGGATTAATGCCAACAACAAAGCTGATGCTGTTTTTCCAGCACAATCAATGTGTAGTAAAACATAAATTCATTTTTCTTCTCTCAGAATCCAGGTAATCTAACTGTCTTCTCTTGTGTTATAAACAGTCAATTAGAAATCACCAATTTTAATAATATTATACTCCTTATGAAAACGTAGCTTAAGGGTCAATGAGTGAAAGCTACAAAGAACTTGCAAGTACTTCTTGAAAAGAAAAAAAGGCCCAACCCTAAATACACTTCTGGATAAGATTTTTGTTGTCTGCCTAATCAATTTCTTGACATGGGAACATAACTCAGTGCATCCACAGTTAACTCAGGTTTTATAATTCTTCTTAATCAAACATGTAATGGAAAATAGAAAAACATATTACACTAAGGATACAAACATTGATATTCTCTTTACACTTTACAAGAGCAGGGAGTTGGGGAAGAAGACTGGAGGGAGAAAAATCAGAAGACAAAAATGAAATCAGTGAGATCATAAGAGGTTTAACACTTGAGTAGAATGCATCTGACTTTAATTAATGACACCCACATATTCATTAGCCCTGTGTAATATTTACAAAAATTGTTCTGTTAAAAATTGTGTCCTAAGAGGCAAAACCAAAGCAACTATTTGGAAGAACAAAACCACTACAGCACAGAGCTAGATACTGGTGATAGCTTAAGCTCTTCAGTACCATTCAGAGGCACCAGACAAATAGAAAACCAACAAAACTGGCCCATTCACAACTCCCTTTGCACAGAGGAAATTACATGTAGCACAGCCCATCAAATTCCTCCACTATTTTTCTGTCCAGTCCTACTGTGGAAAACAAATTGGAGGGTTTGGCTAGGAGAAGGAGACTCTGTCTCACCAGCCTCCTGGGGTGACGGGCAGCCGTACAAAATTTGAAAAGCTTCTCAAACTTCTCTGCTATATGCATAGTACTATTCTGGAGTCCAGCCACCAGATCTTTGCAGATAGAGCTTAAATTTGCTCTCTACTCTACTTTTAGCCTGGAAACTTGTAGTTTCCAGGATTCATCCTTGGCCACAAATAGCAATGTCTTGTAGAATGTATTTATACATCTGTGTTAGGGTTGTCTGGCTCAGCTGGGCACTTTGCACAAAGTCATGGAAACTTCCATTGCAATATGCTTCTGCCTGAAGTAGAGACTCTCAAAACACAGGCAAGAGAAGAGCCATGAGCATTCTCTTATTGTGCCACCGAACACACAGATAAATTCAGATTTTGAAAGATGAAGAGTTCATCAGAAATGTATACACCTTCTGTCACTGCCAGTCTTCTAAAGGTTGACCTCCCTCTTTTGAAGAACGCTAAATTAAATGTAGAAAGGACTGAGAAGCCCAGAGCGCTTCTTGTGAAAGATCTGGTTTCATGGCCAGTTTTTTCAGCCTGACATGGTTTGGGCCAGAGGGATCTTAAAATGTAATTCTGACCTTTCTATCTTGTCTCAAAAAATTAGGCAAGGCATGCTCATGGTATCTAGATCTACTGGAATGTAAAACTTTCAAAATGCTGATGTTGTCTGAATTAAAATTTTGGTCTTTTCATTTTATGAAAGAGCTCAAATTTATTGTCCTCCAGAAAACGATTAAAATGTATTTATGAGTTCAACCTTTTCATTGAGGATAGTTTTTTTTGTAAACAAGTTACATTAGACAGACACAAAGATTGTTTTTCACTGTTTGGCAAATCTCTTTATTAGATAATGTTTTACTTTGAAGACACAGGAACTCAGACTACTAAAAGAGATTCAACAAAAAATTATGAAAAAGCACAGTAAGTTCCTTAATACTTCTCAATAGGCATCTCACCATGAAGTATACAAAGCTATTAAAAAATAGACTAGTAGTGATTTACAGAAATAATAATTTCTGGAGGTAGTGTGGAAACAAATTGGTTGGAAGGTATTATTATTATTTTTTTAAATTATGAAAGGAGCTCATTTTTAGACTACTATTTTCTGTCCTGCTTCTCTACCTTAGCTACCAACACCCATTGGCAAACTCATTTAATGACAAAGTGAAAAAGAGTTGATTGGAATGTAAGTCTTAAAAATGGAGTTTGTATCACATTTGTACAGCAAAAAGCTAGATTTTAAGGAAGCAAGCAAAGAAGTCAGACTGTAATTTACTGCATTAGAGAGATGGGTAACGGGAGTGATGGTAATACTAGTTGTAATTGTTTAATGAAGGTAAGTAATTACTGGCATGTTCATGAGGTATGTTCCAGCAACACTGCAAATAACCCATTTTAGTGTGGTAAATAATAGTTACCCGTAAATGTAATCAGAAATCAAAATGAAAAGTAATGTATTCATTTAGGCGGCATGATATACAGAGTACATTATTTACTTCAAAGTCTTCCCTTCCTCCTGCTGTTGAACAAAATAAACTAATTTTGCATTGAAAAAAATAAAAAACCGAGGATAAACCCATCTGTTTAAATAATCAGAGGGCAAACGTATCATTGTGTCTTGCAGGGAGAAAAATTTCATCAGAGATCATCAAACTTTGGGCCCTGGGGGAGGTGGGTGAGAGCCGCCCCAGAAGCTGGGTGAAGGAAAAAGGGCTGGGAGCAGCTGGAGCAACGACCATTCCCATGGGCAGGGGTCTCCTGCCCCTCATGGCAACTGCTGGGCAGCCCCCTCCTCTGTGGGAAGGCACGGATGGAGCTGTGTCTCCAGGCTGCCTAGCTCACCTAGAGATTTTTTTTTTTTTTAAATCAGAAAGAAATTTCTCTCTGGGCTCAGGCTGGTTAATTTTATCACTTCTTCAGAGCACTCTGAAAGGCTGCCTTTTAGGATAAAAGGATTAAGGGCAGACACTTAAAAAGTATAAAGTTAATAAGCGGATTTGTAATTAATTGTAAATTATGGCAATTTTGTAGTTTCTGTGTCTAAAAAAGTCCAACTCCCATTTTACAAGAGACCCATAAAATGGCTGACGGATATTTTAGTCTGAATGTAAAAGCAGGGTAAGTTTTAACATTTCATAGGTTGTGATAACCCTCAAAATACCCTCTCCACACTACATTAAAGGAGAAAGGATCAGGAAAAGGATCCAGAGTGGTATAAAAATTAGTAACTGTAAAGAAAAGGGCAGAAACTGATTTGCTATGCAGTTTACTAGCACCAAGAATTTTGGGATTTTGAGGTTAGCTTTATAACACTTTTCACCACTATCTACTCTATTTTTGTATTTCAATAATAACTTAATAAAGCTACTACTTATAAAACCCATCCATGCATCTTTTTTTTTTTTATTTTCCTACATGTCCTGATCAAAACTTAGGGGTTTGGGTTTGTTTGTTGGTTGGTTTTGGTTTTTTTAATTTTTGTTGTCTTTTACAGTCCTTTGTCTCTACCTAGCATCAATGCAGCATTACATAGAAGTAACTCACAGTGAGCCACTAGGTTTGGATATGGCATAGTGAAGATCTTGACACAAAATAAATGCTAAAACACCTCTTGTATCTTATTTGCTATACCTGACCACCAAGGAAATGTGGTAAACACTCCTGTCTTTTGAAGGCAGCATGTATACTCGGAGCAAGTACTATTTATATACACAAACCTCACAGCTGCACTTGGAAGTTAGGTCTTTTCCTATTAAGAAATGCAAAACCCATGCTCTTTCTGTCACTAATAATTTGTGGTTTAAAGGACTCTTTATGACCAATAACTTATGAACATGAATCCCCCTGTGATTCTCTCATTGTTCTAGTCATCCATGTAACTCAGCAATCTAAATAGATGCATATAAAAATATCTGTGTTACACAGACGTAAATCCTTCTGTGTGACCATATTATACATTTTGCCACACAGTGGAAGGAGAAAAACCTCCTTTTACCACATCCAGTGTGTATTACCTTAAATTCTGAAAGTCTAATTTAATACTTCCACAGAAAATCTCAGTAATAAAATTTGCTAAATTTTATAAAACAGAGGAATTTTGATCCTCTTACTTTTATGCAAACTCCAATGCAAGGACATCTATGTTAAATCTAGTAAGTACTACTTGGATTTGTAAATATTGGATATATTTGCATGTATTTGGATGTGTAAATTTAAGATTTACGAGAAAGCCAGATCTGAAGCCTATTAACCTTCATTACATTATTATGAACTGGACAGGATGCTGTACCTTCCTATGAAAGACACAATGTGCTGTAAGAAGCCCACAGAAAGAACTCTGAGCCTGTCACAACTCTGCATTTAGTTCTCTCTTTGTTTTAGCACCTTGCTGGAAAGACTGTCCTTCTCACCCTCATCACTAATTTCATCTTGCCTGACACAGAGTGAGTGGCTTTCCTGGAGATGCAGAGAGGTTTTCCAGGAGAGGCTTTCTTGTGGTTTTAAGTTTGCATATCACATAAGGCTATGAAAAATTGAGGTCCTATAAATTTACCTGTTTATCTAAAGGAATCCTACATACATAGTAGAACTACGAGAGAAAAATAGAATAATTAAATA